CAATGCGCGAACCATCGCAACGTAGAAAATTTTGTATGCGGCACTAAATTCAGGTCACGAACAAACAATTCTCGCGCTAAATATTCATAGTGGACACTTTGTATTTTTTACACACGTCTGTCACAAGCTCACACATATTTGTGTATCCTTGTAAATTATTTATCTGTGTTGCCTGTTTCATAATAGACTGCGAAACAAACGCACAATAAGATAGAATTTCATACCATTTATAAAATTAGATATAATACATTATGAAACAATAAGAATAAATTAAAGTGTTCGATAAGGATTTCAATTAATAAATGAATTAAATAAAAAGGTAATACACTCAGTAATACTGAGGAAAAATAATATTAAATTGTAATACAGTAAACTTCATACGATTTGAATTATTCATAGCCTTCTCTTGAGTGCGCGCTCAAGGGTCGTAGAACGTCTTTACCTTTGCCTTTGTTATTCTTTTGTCGATATCAATATCGTTTTATTAGATGTAAGGGCTTTTGTAAGATTTATGTTATGTTTTATTTTATTTAGAAGAATGTTATTGTACTCATTAAAAACATTTTTATTCACCATGCATTATAAGATTAACCTCAAGTTTCAAATTGATTTCTATTATTTTTAACTTTCCTTGATAACCCTTACAGTCAGCTATTCATTTAGAATAGAAACCTTAGTAATAATAAAAAATACGTTAAACCTTATTCTATCCGTGTCTGTAATTCATTACAGTAACTTGTATTTGCGGCTTATTTCACAAATGTTATAGATTTTTTTTCCAGGAATTAATGTAGACGTCGAAATTAACTCTGCAATCGTTTGATGTCCGAATTGCATAAAAAAGTTATACACTTTTCGTACAGTTACAACAGTTCAAAAGCAAACTGACTTATTCGAAAAAAGCTAATAGAAAAACTCACCGTATCATCCAGTCGGCAGGAGCTATGATCGCTTAACGCTACCTCAACTTTACCCGACTCTGAATTCTCCTTGAATTTTAAGTCCTATCCTATTAAAAGTTTGTGAAAGTATTAGAATTTCGAATGAGGGGCGAAAAGCTATCGTGCCATTTTTTCCGGCTCTCCCCGATTCGCAACAATGGGAACGGAGAAGAGCACGCGAGTGTCGACTTTATTCCAAGATCTGTTCTTCATTTAAATATTCTATTTTGCACTTTAATGTCTGTCATACTATTTTCAACTCTCGAATAAACCGTTCGCATTTTTATTAGCTGACAACGAATCTATATTTATAAAAGTATAGGGATATCAATTAATGGCGATACATATATTAAAATGCAACTTTAATTATGAGACGTATAGTAACAAAATAAATGTTACTCAAAAATATTTACCCAATTAATATTGCACCTGTTAAATACAATTCACAGTTAAAATTCTTGTGTTGAATGCGTATAATCTTTTTTTTTAGTATAAGCAAAAATGTTAACTGGTCTATACTTTATTCCAAATTCAAACAGATAATTATCTACTCTACATCGATGTTTCACCGCGCTATTAGTCACGATTACTGACTGAAAAATAGTGCAGATTTAAAATTGCCTAGAATTTAAATGAAAATATGTTAGTCTAATAAACGCAATCAATTTAATTCACTAGCCATTATATCGTTAGTTCTTCCGACGGCTACCATGCCGCCTTTAATATTAATAAGATATAAATATGTATTCTCAGCAGTTAGACCATTAATCAAAACTTAATTCAATTTTTCGAACATGATATCTTAACACAAAATCTTGATCAATAGTCCAAGCGAGTTAATACGCTGAGTTTTATTTTGACATCGCTGACTAATGGGGTCGTTTATTTTTATTGCCGGTTTATTTAAACTCGCCTCGTGTTTTTGCTCGGAGGTGGGCTCGGACGACGAAACTATTATTGCTCGCCGACACGACATCACTCACCGTGCTAATATCTCACCGATTATCTTTTTCAAATGTAAAAGTCGTTTTGACACGCGGCCAACGTTCTGCGCCGGTTCTTCACGAAGACACCTCGGTTACAAGTAATTATAGCATCGTTTCACGCCGCGCCCACCGGCTCATACATTAGAAAACAAGCCACGGCATTTTCCAACGCATATTTCATCAGACTGCTGTTACAATGTATTGCAAATTCTTTCGCTAATTTTGATGCGTGGGCTTGTGACAATAGCTGAACATTACTTTCCATCTTATACACGTTAAAAAACGATTGGATTAATAGTTTAATCTTTTCTCATCCAGATTACGACAGGTAATTGGGGCACGGTCGTATTAGCGTAAATGTATACAGGCAGCTGAGCTACGAGCGATGTCGAGCGTTAGACGAACGCTTTAATGTTGTTAGCATTAGCTCATTATACGTGATATAACCGCGATTAGGTCGTCGTACGCGCTGCAAGCCGCTTTGCTCACCGGAGCTCGCTGCACGCGACGTAATAGCGTATTGTTTGTTAAACTTAAGCAAACATTGAAACCAGGTTAAAAATACGTGTAAACAGGTGGATTCACGTGTAAAATTCATGATAAAATGCTTCTTTTTTCTATTATTTAAGTACAGAACAATTTGATGTTCTGCCATTCATATCCAGAACAAATCTTAGATATTTTCATATGATAATTAGTTAAGATCAGATAAGCTAAAAATCTTACTGAAATTTATAAATCGCCCATTTATTTATGTCAATGATTAAATATACATATTTTTATGTATTTGTAATTTACATAGCGTATATAAATTTCGGATGAATACAGTAGCGCGGTGCCGGAGCGCGATGAACGTGCCGCCGACACTGAATAAACAGCTGGCGGCGGCGCTATTGTGTTTCACATCTCATGAAAACAAATCATTTTTTTTTCTGAATAAACTGCCTCGTTGTCTATAAAATTGCAAATTGAAAACATTTATTCCGAATTTAACATACATTAAGATGTATAAAACTGTATTTGCTGGACAGTGTCCCCCTAACAAAACGCATTCATAATACATATGATGCTAATACCAGCTGTTCGTTTTTAATCTTGCTGTCACTGGTTTGCGTTTTTGAATTTAAAAAGTGTAAATGTTCAATAATTCATCGATTCTCGTATTTGTAAGCTGTTTACTACTCTTAGTTTTTTACCATTGTAGTACTGAAATTGCTTGTATACATTAAGGACTAAGAACTTGGTGACAAAACACTTTTTCATTGAAATATTCAATATAGAAGCGCTGATGACGGTATGTTTGATAGATCTGCCTTACCGGATGACACGTACGGCAAACATGACGGGAATAAAAGTTTTTCAACGCAAAGTCGGCACGACAAAAGCGCATGTCTAAACGCGAATTAAAACACCAAAAGTGCACTAGGAATGGTGACAGCGGCTAGTCGGCGTCCTTTGTGCACGCGTCTGGGCGGAGGCGAGGCGCGGCGCTCGGCCGCACGCGCGCTACATACTTGATTTATCAGTCCATTGTTGCGACGCTGCCGGAGCCACGACCCACCCTCGCCGGATAACACTAAACATTCAATTGCCGGAACGCTCCCGAAACGATTTGCCCCCTTACGGCCGATCGACTCACTGCCTCTTCTTGCCACTTGCCTTTGAGCGTGTTCCTTAGTGCTTCAATTGCTACTCACTCGGGTGTTTTCGATGATCGTCGGCTGGATTGCTTTGTAATACCGCATCTTTATTGCCCTTGATAGCATTATTTGAGTCTAGTGTCTGCTATAAAATAATCGCAGTGTTGAAATATTATAAGAGTCCAAAATAACTTAGCTTAGTTTTCAAAGGTTCTAATTCAAGATACTAATTCAAATATGGAATCTCTTATTAGTGTTAATTATAAAGTTCTCTAGCAATAATTAAAAGAACTTTAAACGCCAATAGCTAGACAGTAATAGCAGATTGTTAACATTACTCAACAATTATCAAGGTGCATATACGTGTTATAATTAAATCGAAGGAAGTAAATAATTATTGTTCGACAAGCAGTAGTAATGTTGATAAACGTAAACGTTCTTGTTTACTTCATTTTAATTATAGACTAGATGAAATATTGTTAGTCCTATATGACTACGTACGTACATTTAACAAAAATTCCGCTTCCATTTATCAATTTCTTTTAGATTGAGTTTGTAGATTCGAAGACTAAATTGCTACAACCGTAAACGAGTCGGTTATTCAACTAGTTTTATTGAGCTATTTGTAGTCATAAATATAGCTCAATTACTTTCGTTTACGTCTTAAATACGAATTGGTTGTAATAAATATAATAAATCCTCCCTACTCGACAGATTTATTTCATGTTTTTTTTTTCATGCAATTTTCTAAAGCGTAACTCGAACATACACGCTAGCTATTTATTGCGGCTCAGTTTGTTTCTAAGTGGTATAATATTTTGCACTGCAAAAACTTTATCAACGATATCTAAGGAGTTTTTATAAATTAAAATCGTTGTTTGTATTGAATTTTAAAATATTATCGTTTATTGGTGTTTCAAACTTTGTACTTTTTTTTACAACTTTATTAACGTTAAAGCTAACGAAGTTTGAAAGTATTTTGAATTATAAAGATATTCCTATGAGACACCGGAATAAAAAACAGTTCATTTTGTAAATAAAAGACCTATTAATAACTACTGATAATATTATTTTGAATAGTTTGAATCTCAATAAATTGCTTATTTGCCTTATAATAAATAAACTAATAGACTCTTACGCTTCTAATGAATTGACATTCAGCTAATAATAGGAGCCGTAATAATGGTTGCGGCATGTGGGCGCGCAGCTGCCGGCCGGCGCGAGTGCACCAGTTATCTGATCAAAGGCGCGCTCGTGCCGCAATATTGCATTTATGCAACCCGCCGCCGTATATTAATCAGCCCGCTCTATGCGCCCATATTATTCAAGACATATGCTTACGTTTTCTTTCATGCATATTAAATCCACATTGAAAATAAATAGCCCCTGTATTTGTTACCTCGATATTTATTTCTTTTTTTTCTTCGTTGCAGGCGAGTCCAGAAAACAGTAGAAATGCTTCACCAAGATATCACGATGTATCAATGGATGATGTAAGTATTGTTTTACATGTAATACTTAAATTGTAATAAAGAAAACAAACAACTGACCTAACTTTACCAAACCATAAAATATTTATCATTTGATTGATGATTTACAATTTTGATTTGACTTATTTAGTACTATTGTCAAAGTTCAAGGTGAATAATAGTAGTAGACATAGTATACACTAGTCTTAAAGTGTAAAACAAATTTTCAGGCATCGGACGCCGGCTCTCTGTTCCGGATGACGGGCGCGGGCGCGGGTGCGGGAGGGAAGAATGAACTGGTGGCGCGTG